CAGCAAGGAATTCATTAACCCAGAGATATTTGACCCTGGCCACTTTCTAGATAAGAATGGAAACTTTAGAAAAAGTGACTACTTCATGCCATTTTCAACAGGTAATAGAAATTCATTTCCATGGATGCAGGGACGTGAGGATCTGTAGCGACTTATCTAGTGGCTCCCTAATGGCCAGTGATCAGGAGTATGACTTTCAGTGTTTATGCATGTCATGATAAAGAGATTTCTTCTTTGTCAGGTTATGAAAGTGAGGCTTTAATTGTTAATCCACTGTTCAAAACTCAGAAAGCTGGAGTACAGTGTGTTTGTATTCTTCCTTTAGCTACATCACAGAAATACCAAAGAAAGCAAAGGCCATTTAAACTTTACTCACCGTGAAAATGGAGATGTCATAATTTACATTCAGGTCTTCTTTGCTGTGTCACTCACCTCCATACTCAACTATGTAATTACAAGTCTCCGCAATACCAAAAATTACTGAAGCATCCCAAGTGGACTTGGGAAAAAACACAAATGAATAATGCTTCTTAAATTTCAGTTAAAGTAGGCCAATGAGAAAGACTCCCAGATCTCTGGGTTATTGGGGGATATCAATACATTTATCTTTCCAACTTGATATCTTAGTGCAAAAAATGGAACACCATTCTAATAAATGATTCCCTAGTTGCCTCAAAATTCATGGGTTGTGGAGAATCATAAGAAGAAATCACTTATCATTAATAGAATTTCATGAAGAGATCAGAGAGTTATTTGTGTTAACACAAAATTCCTCCTCAGTCTCCTAGGCAGCCTGATTATAGATGTGAATAACTATAACTAGTTAAAAAGTATTTTTGAACAATGTATTTCTTAATAGTATAGGTTATCTGAGAAACAATTGTGTTCCACATTTTTCTATTTGCCAAATTAATTGTTCTTTCATGCAGCCAAACGTCTATCCATTCACCTAAAACTTACCCTTCATTCATTGTCTCAGTTACAAATGCAGCGATTCTCAAATTTGCAAATGAATATAGTAATCTTTGATTTTATCCCCCCTAGGAAAACGGATTTGTGCAGGAGAGGGCCTGGCACGAATGGAGCTGTTTCTATTCATCACCACCATTTTACAGAACTTTAAGCTGAAATCGCTGGTTAATACTGAGGATATTGATACAACCCCGGTGCTCAATGGATTTGCCTCTGTGCCACCCCAATACCAGCTCTGCTTTATTCCTATCTAAAAAAGAGAAGATTGCCTAGCCCAAGCTGCATTGTTTTCTGTAATTCTCCTCTAGATCATCATTCACCTCCTTCCCCATCTTGGACAAGATGTCCTTCCCTCCTCTCATGTATTCCCATTCTGTACCCAGGAAACACCTGTTAACTATTTTGCAACTTGTTGAATCACAGTAAAAATACATTGTTATATTCTGTTCTCTACCACAGTGTTATTATTCCTTTTGCTAATGTGTATTTGGTCTTTAATTAAAATAGAACTTTACTGCAAATCATGTAATACGAGAATCCATGGTCATTTTCTTCTGTATGTTTTCAGTAATAAATAAGTTTGATTTGTGCACCTGTTTTTAGACAGTTTGGTAAGAAGCAAAATAAAATAAGAGTTTCCTACACATCATGTTGGTCCACATATCATGAAGCATAGAGAATGTAAGAGTGAGTGCTAGAGAGATATTTCATCCACAGAAGTGCTTGCCCATTAATCCTGAAGACATGGTGGTGTGTTCTTGTTGTACCAACACTGGGTAAACAGAACAAGAGATCCTGGGAGCTTGCTAGACATCCAATCCAGCCTAATTAGTGAGCCTTGTTCCCAAGTGTTATGCCCTGTCTCTGAAAACAAACTTGTCAGCTCCCGAGAAACAACATACAAGGTTCATTTCTGACATCCACATATGTATGTGCACATGTATAGACATTCTCTTACATATAGGCACTTGATTATGCATACATTCACATAACCACATACATACAAGAAATGCAGAGTATGAAGAGGAAGATGATACAATGCTCTTTGGCTGAACATCACTTAGACTCACTGGAAGTATTTGTATTTGAAACAAATAACCAGTGTCCAAGAGTAGCTCCAGTTAGAGGATAAGTCACAGGGAGGGGTGCAATTGCAGGGTCAGGTCATGCCTTGCTTTGCAGATAGTGTCAATAAAAGATAAATGTTTAAACACACTTTTGCCTTGATGTTCTTAGGTTAGAACTGAGCATGCGTTTTTTTTTCTCTATTGTTAACCATGAGTTCCATGTGCATCACTTCCCTTCCCCAAAAAATAATAGTCCCAGGAGGAGTCAAATTTCTATAATTTCTAGATGAATTATACCCTTCCCACTGCATTACAAGTAATCTAATGAGAAATGTCATTACTGATTATCCCTTCTCTAACTTAATCTTAGATTAGTCACTTTGTCTGGAATTGCTAATTCCTACCCTGGGTTCTACTGCAGATTTATATCTGCACATACATTAGTGCACAAGCACACATTCACAATGCTATTTGATCTATAATACAGATTGTTGTGCTACAAAATGTGACTTTTTGTTAAAGTGGGTCAACGTACTAATATTTTTACGTTTATGTATTTTCCTAGTTTCCTAAGAACACTTTACACCACTATTCTCAGGCCTTTATACCTGCATTCAGACTTGCAACCTGTTTTCCTGAGTATTTGTGTTGCAGTCAGATTACATAGGAAATTATCAGTTATAAGACCGTGTGTAGCAATGGCTTTAATAAATTAGTTCTCATTCATCTATTACCTTTATGTCTCTCTATCATCCCCCTCTCATATATGTATGCATTTTGTCTCTCCTTTCTCTGTCTATCAACTTCTGCTTCTGCTTTTTTTTAATTTTTTAATTTTTTTATTGAAAAAAATTTCCGCCTCCTCCCAGCTCCCACTCCTCTCCTCCTCCCCCCACTCCTCTCCTCCTCCCCCCACTCCTCTCCTCCTCCCCCCACTCCTCTCCGCCTCCCCCCACTCCTCTCCCCCTCCCCCCACTCCTCTCCCCCTCCCTCTCCATTCTGAAGAGCAGTCAGGGTTCCCTGCCCTGTGGAAAGTCCAAAGTCCTCCCCCCTCACTCCTGGTCTAGGAAGATGAACATCCAAACTGGCTAGGCTCCCACAAAGCCAGAACATGAAGTAGGAACAAAACCCAGTGCCATTGAACTTGGCTTCTCAGCAGCCCTCATTGTCCACCATATTCAGAGAGTCTGGTTTTATCCCATGCTTTTTCAGTCACAGTCCAGCTGGCCTTGGTGAGTGCCCAATAGATCAGCCCCATTGTCTCATTGGGTGGGTACACCCCTTGTGGTCCTGACTTCTTTGCTCATGTTCTCCCTCCTTCTGCTCCTCATTGGGACCTTGGGATCTCAGTCCGGTGCTCCAGTGTGGGTCTCTGTCTCTATCTCCATCCATCGCCAGATGAAGGTTCTATGGTGATATGCAAGATATTCATCAGTATGGCTTTAGGATAGGATCATTTCAGGTTCCCTACCCTCAGATGCCCCAGGAACTAACTGGGACCTCGCCTTGGGCAGCTGGGAGCCCCTCTAGGTCCAAGTCTCTTGCCAACCCTAAGATGGCTCCCTTAATTAAGATATGTGCTTCCCTGCTCCCCTATCCAACCTTCCTTTACCCCAATCATCCCGTTGCCCCAAGTTCTCCCCATCCTACCCTTCTCACTTTTCTCTCCCCATCTCCGCTTTCCCCCTCCCACCCTAGCCCCAAGATCCCAATTTTTTTCTTTCTTTTTTTTAAAATATTTTTTTATTGAGAAAAGGAGAAAAAAAAACAAGTTTCCACCTCCTCCCAGCCTCCCATTTCCCTCCCCCTCCTCCAACCCTTCTCCCCCTCCTCCCATCCTTCTCCCCCTCCTCCCACTCCTCTCCCCCTCCCTCTCCAGTCCAAAGAGCAGTCAGGGTTCCCTGCCCTGTGGTAAGTCCTAGGTCCTCCCCCCTCTGTCCATATCTAGGAAGGTGAACATCCAAACTGGCTAGGCTCCCACAAAGCCAGCAAATTGCATAGGATCAAAACCCCGTGCCATTGTCCTTGGCTTCTCAGCAGCCCTCATTGTTCGCCGTGTTCAGAGAGTCCAGTTTTATCCCATGCTTTTTCAGTCACAGTCCAGCTGGCCTTGGTGAGCTCCCAGTAGATCAGCTCCACTGTCTCAATGGTTTGATTTCTAAATTCTTCCAACTCTGACCTGTGAGACACTGGCAGTGCTTTATTTTCCATTACCTTTACGGGAAAACAAAGATCTTTCATGGTTGAACTACACAACACTGAAACACAAACACCTTTCTTCAGATAAACTTAATATATATTTTCTGATTGGAGATGTATGGCTAATAGCTATGTTTTGTTACCTTAGTTTTATAAGTGACCAAAGAGTGAAATAAGGAGCTATTAGACTTACATTGCTTAACAAAATATGTCCAACTGTACTGTTTAATATAGGAAAGAAATATTTTAAATATACATGACCATGGAAGGTGCACAGATATATTGGAAAGAATATAGCAAAATAAATGTCAATTTGAGGTCAACTTAAGCTGCACAGTAAGACTATGTTGACAAATAAATATATTTCATATCACATATAAACTATCCATAATCTTAAATTTCTACCTGGTCACTAACCTGAGAATATAAATGTTGAGTTGTTTTTCTTACATCTCAAAATTAATCTATTGCTTCTCAGAAATAGTTGCTCGTTATAAATGTTTGTTTATTTTTATTAGCACTATTTGGACACCAATCTGTTTTGTTAAACCAGAAATTCAACTGAATACCCTGTAAAGAGGGGAAAGGGTAGTGAACATCTTATTTTTATTTCTATCAGAAGGACAAAGTCTACTTGAGAGATTAAAGATTATCTGATTGACCGGTGAGTGATGTTCCAAAGAAGGACATGTTGATTCACCCTGTAGTGTTATAAAAGCTCCATGCTGACTGAGCACAGCTGTGTCAGGCAGAAGGATCTCCATGGATGCAATTGTGCTCCTAGTGCTCAGCCTCTGCTGTCTGCTTCTCCTCTCACTCTGGAGACAGAGCTCCGAGAGAGCGAAGCTCCCTCCTGGCCCGACTCCTCTCCCAGTTTTTGGTAATTTCTTCCAAATAGATGTGAAGAACATCAGCCAATGCTTGACCAATGTAAGTATTCTTTGTGCCCCGCCAGTACCTTATAAAGAATTTAAACTGACAGTTGCTGTAGATGAAAATCTAGTATCAGAGGCAATTTAGTAATAAATAGTCACAAAGTCAAAACTCTTTCAAAGTATTGTGTATCTTATGACTCTTATAGGTGGCCATTGTCGGGATTTCAGTAATGAGTGGGGTTTCAGGTGAAAGGACATTTACTTTGCATTTTCTAAAACAAAAAATTCCACAAAATTGCAAAATTTGTGACTATGTCCTATCACGACACAACAACAACAAAAAAAAACAAAACCTTTTCCATTATTTTTGGTTGAAGATCAATAGTGAGTAATGATTTATTCAATAAGTCATTAATAATAATGAAATAATAGAATTTTAGAAAAACATTTTATTAAGGTTATCTATTTGATGTTGCACTCTAACAAAGTAACTGATTCCTAATTTAACTAAATACCAACGGACAAGGAATAACACAAGAAATGCAACAGAGAAGCCAAGATTTCAACATATTTGGTGATGTTTGTAACCAGCCATAGAAGGAACTATTTTTTTTCCAGGAAATATTGCATGCCTATGGTGCAGCTCCCGTGGTGCCCACTCTCTGTGTTTGTAGTAGCATTATGCCAAATCTGGTTCCTCAATAGAATCAACTGTGGTGACTTACAAATTTGCATTTCGAAAGGAAGTGGGCCTTTACATTGATGCTTTATTATTGCAACATTTTGTTTATTCCATTGGACCACTTGCCTATTTTTGTGAGTACCAGACAGTTTCTATCACATAATTCTATAATATAATTTGGTATCAGTTGTTGTTATATCTCAAACAGCATTTTTACTCCTTAGGAGGGCCTTGACTATTTTTGGTCTTTTTAGGTACCATATGATGTCCTCTGCTCTTTTTCTAAACCTGTAAATATGGCATCAGATATCTGATGTGTAGCATTAAATCTATAAATGTAGTAGTATGAGTTTAGTAGTATGTGTGTAGTTACTCAGTTTATATTTCTTCTCTGATCTTCTGACTACAGTTGCCAGTGGTTGAGGAAAGTGTCCCCACACCCGTGGGCTGGAGGTCTGTAGGTCAGAGTGGAATGGCCTCTGTTCAAAGAGGGTGTTTGTTCCTGAGTTGGGGAACTGGGACATGGTGGGAAAGATGGGAGGCTTGATGGTGGTTAGGGTGGGCAGGCGCTGAGACAGAGGGGGCAGTCAGCAGGCATGTATATTTCCTGTATGGAGTTCTGGTGGTCAGCGTCCTGCTGAATGTTTTGGTGTGAAAATTCATTGTAATCCTTGTATGAGAACTACCTGAGTCTTGAACCATTATATGGTTTACTGCAGGTGATCAATAATTTATATTCACCCTAATATGATATAGTCTTCACAACTATTTATAATTAATCTTTTCCTGAATAAAATTATTAAAATAGAGTGAGTGATATTATCAGTGCGAATGAAAGGTTGACTCCATGGATATTAAAATGATTTTTTTTGCTAGTATTTACATTTTTCTCTCCTATTTTCAGTTCTCAAAAGTCTATGGCCCTGTTTTCACTGTGTACTTGGGCATGCAGCCCACTGTGGTGTTGCATGGGTATGAAGCAGTGAAGGAGGCTCTGGTTGATCATGGGGAGGAGTTTGCTGGAAGAGGAAGCTTTCCAATGGGTGAAAGAATTAATAAAGGCCTTGGTAAGTAACTATACATGTTCATATGGGGGGGGGTGCAGTGTTTCTGGTGAAAGAGAAGACTTAAAGGAGGGGTGGGACCTCTTCTCTAGGTACAGGTTGGACCTCTCTGTGGTTTCCACCCATCAAATCTCTCATTTGTCCCTAGAATATTTTTCTAGTGCTTTACCATTTATTTTTTATGAAATTTTATTTTTTATAAAAACTATATTTTTTCAATGTACATACCAATCACGGTTCCAACTTCCTCTCTTCCTCCTACTCCTTCCAACTTCCCCTCCACCACACCCCCATCCACTCCTCAGAGAATGTAAGGCTTCCCATGGGGAGTCAACAAAGTCTAGCACATTGCTTTGAGGCAGGACCAAGGCACTCTCCACTATATGTAGGCTGAGCACGGTATCCCTCTAAAGAGAATATATTTCTGAAAGCCAGTGCAAGCAGTAGGGAGAGACCCCGTTTTTCTATTTCTTTAGGCATTGTTTTGAGCAATGGAAACAGATGGAAAGAGACAAGGCGCTTCACTCTCACAACTCTGCGGAATTTGGGCATGGGCAAAAGGAACCTTGAGGACCCTGTTCAAGAGGAAGCACAGTGCCTTGTGGAGGAACAGGAAAACCAATGGCAAGTGCAGATTTCTGCATTTGCATCTTAGTCTAAATGTGTGTGTGTGTGTGTATGTGTGTGTGTGTGTTGTGTGTGTGATGCTGATCATACCCATTCTAAAATTTTCTTTGTTTTTAAATCAGAAACAATGAATATGTTTCATGCGAATATTCTTTTGAGCTGAATAATTGTGCACAAGTGTATTTTGTCTTTGTGGATCATTTCACCATGGTATGATTGCTATTTATAATAGTGGCAGATCCCAATCAGAGGATATTTGTTTTCCTTTTCTTGGTTACAGAGGTTTGAGGAAATTAACTGAGCAGTACAGAGATTCTTCTAGGCCAATGTTTATAGTCCTGGGTAACAGTGATATAATTTATAATTTTCATTTCTTAGCCTTGTGTAATAGAATTTTCATCACTATTTTGTCTGCTGTGGCATGATCTTAAAATTGTATTGTCATTTGTTTAAAAATTATTAACTACATTGCGAATTTTATAAGTGTGTTTTATTATTTTTTTATTTTTTTTTATTGAGAAAAGGAAAAAAAAAAGTATCCGCCTCCTCCCAACCTCCCATTTCCCTCCCCTTCTCCCACCCTTCTCCCCCTCATCCCAAACTCCTCTCCCCCTCCCTCTCCAGTCCAAAGAGCAGTCAGGGTTCCCTGCCTGTGGAAAGTCCTAGGTCCGCCCTGCTCCATCCATGTCTAGGAAGGTGAGCATCCAAACTGGCTAGGCTCCCACAAAGCCAGTACATGAAGTAGGATCAAAACCCTGTGCCATTGTCCTTGGCTTCTCATCAGTCCTCATTGTTCACCATGTTCAGAGAGTCCGGTTTTATCCCATGCTTTTTCAGTCACAGTCCAGCTGGCCTTGGTGAGCTTCCATTAGATCAGCCCCATTGTCTCAGTGGGTGGGTACACCCCTCGTGGTCCTGATTTCCTTGCTCATCTTGTCCTTCCTTCTGCTCCTCATTGGGACCTTGGGATCTCAGTCCAGTGCTCCAGTGGGTCTCTTTCTCTATCTCCATCCATCACCAGATGAAGGTTGTATGGTGATATGCAAGATATTCATCAGTATTGCTATAGGATAGGGTCATTTCAGGTTCCCTATCCTCAGCTGCCCAAAAGACTATCTGGGGACATCACCCTGGGTTCCTGGGAGCCATACTACGGTCAAGTCTCTTGCCAATCCTAAGGTGGATCCCTTACCTAAGAATTGTGTTTCCAATGCTCCACTGTCCAACCTTCCTTTATCCCAACCCCCCTGTTCCCCAAGATCCCCCCTCCTTCCCTTCTCACTTTTCTCTCCCCATCTCTTCTTACCCTCATCCCACCCCACCCCCAAGATCCCAATTTTCTGCCCAGCTATTTTGTCTACATCCCATAGCCAAGAGGATAACTATATCTTTTTCCTTGGGTTCTCCTTCTTATTTAGTTTCTTTAGGTTCACCAATTGTAGTCTCCCTGACCCTTATTTATGACTAGAAACCAATTATGAGTGAGTACATCCCATGTTCATCTTTTTGGGTCTGGGATACCTCACTCAGGATAGTGTCTTCTATTTCCATCCAATTGCATGCAAGATTCGAGAAGTCATTGTTTTTTACCGCTGAGTAGTACTCTAATGTGTATATATTCCATACTTTCTTCATCCATTCTTCCATTGAAGGGCATCTAGTTTGTTTCCAGGTTCTGGCTATTACAAAGAATGCTGCTATGACCATAGATGAACAAATGCTTTTGTCATATGATAGAGCATCTCTTGGGTAAATTCCCAGGAGTGGTATTGCTGGGTCCAGGGGTAGGTTGATCCCGAATTTCCTGAGAAACCGAAACACTGACTTCCAATGTGGTTGCATTCCCACCAGCAATGGATGAGGGTAACCCTTCCTCCACAGCCTCTCCAGCAAAGGCTATCATTGGTGTTTTTGACTTTAGCCATTCTGACATCTGTAAGATGATATCTCAAAGTTGTTTTGATTTGCATTTCCCTGATTGCTAAGGAGGTTGAGCATGACCTTAAGTGTCTTTTGGCCATTTGAACTTCTTCTGTTGAGAATTCTCTGTTCAGTTCAGTGCCCCTTTTTTTAATTGTGTTAATTAGCATTTTAAAGTCTAGTTTCTTGAGTTCTCTATATATTTTGGAGATCAGACCTTTGTCTGTTGTGGGGTTGGAGAAGATCTTCTCCCAGTCAGTAGGTTGCCTTTTTGTCTTAGTGACAGTGTCCTTTGCTTTACAGAAGCTTCTCTCTTTTAGTAGGTCCCATTTGTTCAATGTTGCCCTTAATGTCTGTGCTTCTGCGGTTATACATAGGAATCAATCTCCTGTGCCCATCTGTTGTAGGGTACTTCCCACTTTCTCTTCTATCCTTTTCAGTGTATTCGGGCTGATATTGAGGTCTTTAATCCATTTGGACTTGAGTTTTGTGCACGGTGATAGATATGGGTCTATTTTCATTCTTCTAAAGTTTGACATTAAGTTGTGCCAGCACCATTTGCTGAAGATGCTTTCTTTCTTCCATTCTATACTTTTAGCTCCTTTATCGAAAACGAGGTGTTCATAGGTTTGTGGGTTAAAATCCGGGTCTTCTATACGATTCCATTGGTCGACTTCTCTGTTTTTTTGGCAGTACCACACTGTTTTCATTACTGTAGCTCTGTAATAGAGTTTGAAGTCAGGGATGGTAATGCCTCTGATGGAGGAAGGTCATTGGCTAATAATGGAACTGCCTTGGCCCATTTTATTGGTTGGAAGCTAGGTGGGAGGAGTAGGCAGAACAGGACGCTGGGAGGAAGAGGAAGTGAGCTCAGTCTCTCGACAGCTCTCCTCTTGGGAGCAGATGCCGGAGAGAGACGCCATGCCCCGCCCCCGGGAAGAAGCTCCGACCCAGGATGGACATAGGCTAGAATCTTCCTGGTAAGCGCACCTTGGGGTGCCATACACAGATGATTAGAAATGGGCTAAATTAATATGTGAGAATTAGCCTAGAAGAGAATGGGCCAAGCAGTGTTTAAATGAATACAGTTTGTGTGTTGTTATTTCGGGCATAAGCTAGCCAAGCAGGCGGCTGGGGTGTTGGGGATACAGCCCCGCCACTCTTATTACTACATATGGCACCCCACGTGATGGACTAAACCCACTTAAAAAACCTGAGAAGGCTTAAAAATAAGGGAGAGAGAGTTTAACACAGATTTTTGCTGTTTGTTGGTGGCGTGCTGTAGAGAGATTTCCTGATTAGGCAACAGTAGCAGAAAAAATGCTGTGTCATTTTAAAGCGTGACTTCCTGGGGCTGTGCCGCCATTGAGATCTCTGTCTGGCTCCTGCGGGAGACAGAGCTTTTGAATAGAGCATTTGGAGTAAAGTGCTACGATTTGTTTGACGGCAACTAGACTCGCTGTGTTCTCGGTTCTGCTCTGCTTGTTAGAGGCAAGCATGCACTTTCATCGAAGAGAGGCTTCCTGACTCAGCTTTAAGTGCAAAACCCTGCATCTCATTAAGAGGTCCTGCCACGAAATACTTAAATGGTGTTGACGAAAAGCTGAACGCATGCTTTTCGGTTTTCAGCCATAGCAGGAAAAAAGCTGTGCCGTTTAAAAATGCCAGCTTTCTGTGCTGTCCTGCCAGGGCAAACTCTGACTCTTTTACGCAGGCGGTTTGTGCGGTTTGCAAGCACAGGCTGCTGAAGCTCGCTTGCTGGCTACAGCCACTACCTCAGCCATGAGGCTGGAAAGCTAAGGAATGGACTGGATCTAGCTGACAAAGCCACACCTTTAATCCTACCCATATTGCTCAGTAATTTAAAGGCTCGTGTGGTCAGAAAAAGAGAGATATACAGTAAAGAGAGTTTCAAAGACAGAAAATTTCTGAATGGTTTAAAGTGTGTTAAAAATATATGCAGACTAAAAGTTGAAGTTCTTAAAGTACAAAACAAAAAAAGGAAGAGAGTTGTTGTGTGTGGTAGCACACGCCTTTAATCCCAGTGCCTAGAAGGCAGAGACAAACAGATCTCAGTGAGTTCAAGGTGTAGTAGTGTACACCTTTAATCCCGAATGCCTGGGAGGCAGAGACAGGCAGATTTCTGAGAGTTCAAAGAGAGCCTGGTCTACAGAGTTACTTCAGGTCAAAGATACAGAGAACCTGTCTCAAAAAGCAAAAAGTTAAAAGTAAAAATAAACAAACTAGAGGTTAAAACAAAGCTGTACAAAGATGGAAAATACACAGAGAATCTTGATACTGTATGCTATTATGCTCTCTTTGAATTATTTGAATGCTGAGGAAGGAGCAACAGCTGCTAAAAGATATTTATTTATAAATACTGCTGAACTAATCCAATATAGATATTTTGAATTTGGATCTAAGGATATGATACTTTGGAAAGGAGTTTCTTATTTTGTTTTCACAGAGGATGAGACGCTGTTCATTTCTTCTATTCCAATTTGGTATGATGGACCACGTCCTCCTGAATGGTTCCTGTGCACGCCTTCAAAAAATTGCTTCGCTCAACTGCCAACTGAGATGAAACTAGCACACAGGTTATACCATGAAAGACCTAATTAACGACGCCCCCATTCAGCAGGAAGCAGTTTGGAGAGAAAAAACTGCGCCCATGTTCCCAAATATGGTTTATAAACGTTCTTTTACTTTTAAAGGGGGATATGATATAGGTATGAATAATTTGCATTAGTATAGATTTTGCTTTTAGTATAGATAGAGATTTAAGGTCAATTTTGTTATATGTATAAGTGTTTCTGATTTTGATTAAGGTATTGTGATTGTGTAGTTCATTTAAATATGTACTGTATAATTAAGAAATATAGGTTGTTAATGGATAATCATCGATAATAGTAAAGCTTGTAGTCATGTTAGATTTTCTAGATATATAGAGATATATTTTAGATAGACATTCTTCATGTCTTTCAAAGATTAC